AGCGCTCCATGGCATTGGACCTGGCTATCTCCGAGACCGCCTTCTGCCACAGATTCCCTCCCATAGACCGGTACGCTCCCACAGAGTGGGTCTCCTCAGGGTGCCGTCGGCCAAGCAGTGTCGGCTGGCGACCCCCAGGGGGAGGGCCTTCTCTGTGGGTGCCCCCACCCTCTGGAACGAACTACCCCCCGAGATCCGGTTGATTCCGGATCTCCTTACTTTCCGCCGCACCCTCAAGACATGGCTTTTTCAGCAAGCGGGCCTGGCCTAGGGAGGATTTTAAATCGGGTTTTTAAATCGGGTTTTTTAAGAATAATTTTAACTACACAACTTTAAATATTGGTTTAATCTGGTGGGGGGTTGTAAATATGTCTATGTTTTTAAATATGTTGTGAGCCGCCCTGAGTCCCGTTGGGAGAAGGGCGGGATATAAATCAAAATAAATAAATAAATAAATAAATAAATAAATAAATAAATAAATAAATTCCTACGGATTTTTTTTTAATTTCATGTTCTTCATGGACTTCATGTTCTTCAAAGTACCTCCTGTTCTTTACTTCATTTGAACTCTAGACTAGCCTTTCTATAATCATACATGTAGATCTCTTATTTAAAATTCTGCTACAATGTTTTCGTTGATGGCCTCCTTAATTCCTTTGGGGAGCTTTCCATTATTCTAGAAGAATAAATTAAATAAAATCACAATGCAAAATCTCATCTCGCATAGTTTTGAGAGAATTAAAATGTAGCTAAGGCCCTAGTATATATTCCACACCGATCACCTGAAAGTACCCCACTCACCTATTAAGACTTTTCATTTCAGCCAATTATAATCTATGTTTGCCTTAAGGGCAACATTTTTGTTTGACCAGATTAATGTCCTCAGTCCATATTAATGAAGAGGAAATAAAATAACACCCCAATGAAAGTTTGTTTATCCATGCTTGCTGAGAAAAACTGAGAGCTTTATGGGTCTACTCTAAATGGCCTGATAGTGCACAAATTTAATAATGCTCCTTTATTCAATAATTTGGTAGGCCAGAAAAGATAATACTTGTCTTATTGCATTTGTCTGTGGAAAAAATTTGGGGAACTATATAAATTGTTCCAAATAAATAAATACATTTGTATAATGTGTCACTAAGGGTTAGTCTTTATCAGTACATTTGTACCATATACGACATACTATTTCAGATGAGAAATATAGTTATAAAAAAATCAAATACAATGCAAGAACTGGCATAATTCACTAGAGCTGGACTTATGACTCTAACAGAACATCTGCATACTGCAAAAAGATTTTGATAGGATTCAGAAATGCCTTTAGCTATTTCTCCTAAATGCCATTTTTTATGAGACACTGTTAACAAAAAAGAAATAGCTGATATCTACAAAAAGAAAATAAATGAATTTGTAATTGGCAAACAATTTATAATGGTTTTAGAAGTGAAATTGAATGACATTTCAGACCAGAAATAGAACAAAATAGCCATCAATTCCTAATCTGACTAATAGCATGTGTTAGATTAAGGGCTGCTTCCTTGCATTTCATATCCTCCATTGTCTGTGCAAATGTACACTTTAAAGTCACCTTAGAAATGATCTTGAGAATAGCTAAGTTCTTCTTGAATGCCATTTCTGTTGTCACAAAATTGTTTCATTGTCCATGTGTAGAACATTATAGATCCTCAGAGATTCTAAGACTCATTTTCTGATTTCACAATATTGAGTAAATTCAGTGATAATTGACAAATTTATATTCATTTATTCATTTCAATCTCCCAAGAGCTATCATTTTAGTAGGCAACAATTTTAGTTACATTTGAATTAAGTCTCTTACTGATCTTTCTTCTAATAATTGACAATTTGTTTTACTAAGTAAATTAGCTTAGAGTAGTTTTTTTTGCTTTACTATTATATAATACTCCATTTTATTTTATTTTAATTGTGTTGAAATTATACTGTTTTAGTCACAAACTATAATAATGTTAACTACAGTTTAAGAAAAAATGTTAACATGAGATGTTTTGCATGAAGTTCCAACTCACAGAATTCCTTCTTATATGACCTTGTTATAGTCTGATCAGCTGCAGAAATTTCTTTGTCTCACTTGCAGATATCACTGTGATCTGCCCCTGGGAAGCTTTCAGCCACCTGGAACTTCATGAATTGGCACAGTTTGGAATAATATAATCAATCAGAATTCCTGCTTGTCTCGGATGGCATCTAAAGTTCCTATCTTCATTACATACAATTCTCGTTTTCATCCTTCCATCCAAAATATTAACATTTTACACAACATATGGTTTTGTAAATAAGGGTCAGCAATGTGAAACTTTGCTCTTGGATTCGATTTTCAGAAAACTATGAAAGTCTGCTGAAGTATTCACCTGATTAATCAGCTAAGAACCTTAAAAGCTTCTATGTTTGCTATGAAAAAGCTTAATTTTTTTTCTAAAATAAAATTGTTAATATCTAGAATTCTATAATCTAGAATTCCTCAAGCATGGATTCATCTTGCCTAATTTTGTACATTTTGTGTGTGTGTGTGTGTGTGTGTGTGTATGCTAGCCTCATAGTCACTCCCTTGTACTGTTTTGTCATTAAATATAAATGGAAATTTCCAAATAATTACAAAACTAGCTATCATTTCAGGACAAGAATTTGTAACTGTTAAATTCTATGAATTATAGCACCAGAAATAAAAACAAGGGCTTGATAATACTATAAAGTTATTGGCCTGGTTCAGACATAATATGGTTTGGTTTTGCCTTAGGTTTCTTTTTTTTTGTGAAAGAAGATTTCTGGCAAGTTATTTATGTGTGCTATGTAAATGTACTCTTGTTTTCATGAATGGAACTATTAAGAATACTGAAGTGGCCACTTCAGGCTTCAGATGTTGAAGGACACAGAATGGCAGTGATTTGGGTTACACAATCTGTCCTACTAGCTTAACATTCCTTTAATCTTTATTACAGAAGTAGCAACCTGCATTTAAGCAAAAGTCAACTTATAGTTTAGTCATTTTTGTAGATTGAATGGTGGTGGGTAAGAATCTATCTTAAGTTTTCCTGATTTCAAAATAATCCTGATGCTTTCATTTATAAATAAAACTAATTAGTTTCAGATATCATGGTCTCTCACTTATGGATTTGGTTGGTAGATTTTAGTTATGAAAAGATGAAGGTTCTCAAATGAATTAATAGTTTTTTTCACTCTTTGATTCCAAATTTTTCAGTAAAAACTAAGCTTCTCTCAAAAATATCTAGTTTTCTAATGAAGACTATAACTTTCATAGCTATTTTATGAATAATGTGTCTTCCAGTACTTGATTTTAGAGAGAAAACCTTTTGGCACCATCAATACTAATGACCTCACTTAAGTTACTTTACTTTACCACACATATTCAGCATGAAATAGAATTTTGCATGGTTCTGACTTATGGGTATGATTTTCCCCTTTATTGTGAACCAGCTAAGCTGTACTGTAGCATATAGACTTCAATGGTCTCAAATGATTTGTTTTTATTGATGCTTCCAGACACAGCATTTACTCTCAAATGGCTGATTATATTCACAGATTATATTCATAATCTTTTGTTTTTAACTCTCCTATTTCCTACATCTTCTTCCATCTTTTTCCTTGCCAGAAAAATGTCCATTAAGAAAAGGAAAAGCAGAATAGTGGCACAGTGCCTTTTTATTTATTTTTTTCAATATAAAATTTTATTGTTTTTATCATAAAAAAAAAGAAATACATCACAGATATTACACAATGTTATAACCCATCCCCCCACCCCCCGGACTTCCCAAACCAACCTAGGCTAATATTCAAATACAAGTAAACAAATATTAATATCTCTAACTCCAAAGTCTAAACTTAAACAATCCATCTCCTCCGTAT